TTTCTTGACTCCAGTCTTTCCATACCCAGTGGCCCCTTGTGTCTTCACTTCTCTTCCCAATCAGCCTCCGTTCCACAGTGCTTCACCTCTGCTCTTCAACTATATATGTTTCCTTCCCTGTTGTTATTAACCTTCTGAACTGGTCTCCCAGCTTCAGGCTTACCCTTTAAATCCACTCTCCACACTGCAGCTAGGGTGATCTCTCTACTAAATCTCTTCATATTACTCACCTGCCTAAATCTTCTAATGTTTTCCATTGCCAACTACTACCCATTCCCAGAAGGTACCATGCTCCCACAAGTATCCATGCCTTTGCATATGCTAGACCTTCTTGCTGGTTTAACTCTCTCCTTGTTCTTTGCCTGAATAACTCCCATTTTTCTTCAAGATTTATTTCAGGCAACACCTCCTCCAGGAAGCCCTCCCTGATCTCCACTACCCACTACCTCGTTTAGATGCCCCTCCTGTGTGCTCCGATGCCATCGTGTGCTCACTGGAATTACAGCTCTGGCTAGGCTGTAGTATCATCGTCTGCTAACTAGTCTGATTCCACCTCAGCGTAAGTGCCTGATGACAGAAACTCAACAAATGTTTGTTGAATTAACTGAACATAGGTGTTGGGAGGACTGGTTCTGTTTGTCTGATATCGGTTTGATTTGACTTTTCTAAAAGTTGGAGGGATTTCAATGTTTATATGCTGAGAGTATAGAGCTATAATAATTAGAGAGCAAGAGGTTAGTGATTTGGGAGATCGAGGAGATAACGAACAGAACAAGTGTCTGAAGAGGCAGAAGGGAGGGGCCCTGAGCACAGGTGGAGGAACACACCTTGGGCAGGGGCAGAGACAGAGACGCCCTTTCCTCTGAGCCTGCAGGTGCTGATGCGTATGTCTGTTGGTAGGGAGCAAGCAGGAAACTGGGGGAGTTTCCAACTGATGGCCTCTTTCCTCTAAGTGGTGAGTTGGTATGATGACCTTGGAGACAGAGTTGGCAAGGGACTCCCAGCAGCTTCCCATATTTCTTCTGTGACCTCTTCCTCCCATCCCTCAATCCTCCACAAATCCCAGGCCACTGCCCAGTGCTCTTGAACTGTCTTGTCTGTGAAATGTACTGAGCTCCAAGCAATCAACCCATCGATAAGTTTAGTCCTTATATAAGAGAGTGTGTGTAAAGCATTCAGCCCAGCACCAGGTACGCAGGAAATACTCAGTAAATGGTAGCCCTTTTTGTATTTACTAACAAGAATGCTTGTGTCTTTTTTAGCTGCTGCATAGCAGTGTGTACAGTACGAGTCCTTGCCCTCCTCAAGCTTATGTTCTTGTTGGAGAAGGAAGATACACCCACAAAATAATTAAAAAGCAATGCGAAGTGATACGTGGTAGTCACTGACATCTAAATGGGTGCTTTGTTTTTTGAGTACAGCCTGCACTAAAAAATATGCTTTATATCATGACCTGGAATTCAGAAACATATATGAAGTGAAACAAAAGTTGCATTAAATAATTCTTATCCTTAATTTGCATGATGTCTTCTGATATTTTCTATGCTATTCTATTCTACTTCATTTTTTAAAAGTGATGGTCAAGACACTATTATGAGCAGAATTGTGCCCCTCAAAAATTCATATGTGGAAGTCCTAAACCCCAGTACCTCAGAATGTGACCCTATTCTGAGACAGAGTCTTCACAGAGGTCAAGTTAAAATGAGGTCATAGGGTGGGCCCTAATCCAATATGACTGGTATCCTTATAAAAGGGGGAAATTGGCCAGGCGAGGTGGCTCATGCCTATAATCCTAGCACTTTGGGAGGCCGAGGCAGGAGGATCACTTGAGATCAGGAGTTCAAGACCAGCCTGAGCAAGAGCGAGACCCTGTCTCTACTAAAAATAGAAAAAAATTAGCTGGGCATCTAAAAATAGAAAAAAAAAATTAACCGGGGGTGGTGGTGCACGCCTGCAGTCCCAGCTGCTTGGGAGGCTGAGGCAGGAGGATTGCTTAAGCCCAGGAGTTTGAGGTTGCTGTGAGCTAGGCTGCTGCCATGGCACTCTAGCCTGGGCAACACAGTGAGACTCTGTCTCAAAAAAATAAAAAATAAATGAAAAAATGAAAGGGGGAAATTTGAAGGCAAACTTGTATTCAGGGAGAGCACCATGTGAACATGAAGATGACCATCTACAAGTCAAGGAGAGAGGTCTGGAACAGATCCTTTCCTCACAGTCCTGAGAAGGAATCAACCCTGCTAACACCCTGATCTTGGACTTCTTGCCTCCAGCATTGAGGCAAATTTCTGTTGTTTAAGCCACTCAGTTTGTGGTACTTTGTTATAGCAGCCCTCGCAAACTAATACACTCATCAAACTGATACTCGTGACTCACTATTGGGGTGCAACCTCCAGTTTACAGACCACAAAGTTCTTTCTCTCATGCAGTCTTCTTAGCCACTCAGTGGGATGACAGGGCCCAGAGGAAGGTGATGAATGAGGTACTCATTCTCAGGGTCATGCAAGTAGGGATGTCATCACTGAAGGTCTGGCTGACCCTGCAAGTGCACAATCTGAAGATGAGAGCCTCCTTAAATTTTGTGCCCTAGGAGCCTTACCCTAGTCTAGACTCTATTGAAGCAGGTATAATCATTGTCCTCATTTGAGGGGTTGACACATGGTCATAAGGCTTCTAAGTGGAGTCAGACCCAAGAAAAATTTGCCTCTAAATTCTGGGTTCTGGCTGGGCTCGGTGGCTCACGCCTGTAATCCTAGCACTCTGGGGGCTGAGGTGGGAGGATAGCTTGAGGTCAGGAGTTCGAGACCAGCCTGAGCAAGACTGAGACCCAGTCTCTACTAAAAATAGAAAAATTAGCTGGGTGTGGTGGCGCATGCCTGTAGTCCCAGCTACTCAGGAGGCTGAGGCAGGAGGATCACCTGAGCCCAGGAGTTGGAGGTTGCTGTGAGCTAGGTTGATGCCATGGCACTCCAGCCCAGGCAATAGAGCAAGATTCTGTCTCAAAAAAATAAAAAGAAAAAAAGAAAAATAAATAAATTCTGGGTGCTTTTCATGACATCACTGTCCCAACTGGTGCAATCAGTAAGAAAGGAAAACAGTAAATATTATTTATCTACCAGTTGCTCCTCATCTTCCTGCCCCTTAAAAAGAGCCAAAGTGACTGTATTTAGTCTTTCCCCTCCTCCTGCCCAAGTCTTCGGGGACTTGGATCTCCTGAGACCCGTAGTTGGTGAAGCCTGGCTTCAGCTGCTGTCTGTGGATGTAGCAGGCAGAATGGGCCCCAGGGAGCACATACAAAGAACATATGTTCACACACCTCGATCATAGTGTTGCTTGCTGGACAAGCCAATGGGCAGATTCCCTTCGTGCCATCTCCACCCCTGTTCTCCCTCCTCTTTGATTCACTGCCTTGCAGACATAATAAACACATAAACACACATGCTTTCAATAGGCTCTGTCTTTTTGGCAGTAATGTCATCCCCAAACCTGGGGACCTCTGAATAGGATGGAGACCCTTCTGCTTTCCTCACACCTGGTTTATTCTGGACCATAAAAATAGTGTCTGACATTTACTCTGTGCCAGGCATTGTCCTAAGCCTTCACATGTATTATCACATTTCATTCTTACAACATTATGGGTTAAGACTCTTATTTGCTCCATTTTCCAGATGACAAGACTGAATCACAGAGTAAATTGCCCAGGGTTGTGTGGTTAGCAGTATTGGCAGGATTTGAATGCAAGCAGTCCATGTCCAGAGTCCAAGCTCTTAACTGCTATATTCTGCTGTTTGTTTCTACCCTCTGCTGCCTGGCTGGGTCCACACACACGTGCATTCACTCAGAGACACCCGGGTCAGCAAGGGACAGAGGAGGAGCTGAGTCCTGGGAATCATTTCAGGCACCAGGGGGCAGCATAGGCCTAGCTTTGGCCCCTCAGCCCTGCCCTGTTATGGGAAACAGAAGGGGAGTACAAACTTCCTCCCACCTTCTCTGCCCCTCACACACCATCCTTTCCACACACCGTAGCTCTCACCTTTGGGTGTGTAAAGGTCCCTTACATCCCTCCAGTTCCTCCCCCAGCAAAAACTGCAGAACCATCCATTACTTATGATGATGACTCAGAAGCTGAGCAAGCCGTGTGTGTGTGTGTGTGTGTGTGTGTGTGTGTGTGTGTGTGCGCGCGCCCGCGCGTACCATTGTGATTGCAAGAGGCTCTGAGTGCTAACGTGTGCCTGCACCTGTGTGTGTGTGTGTGTGTGTGTGTGTGTGTGTGTGTGTAGTCTTGTAGCCGGGGAAGTTGTGCATGTGTGCGTGTTTGTTTCTGGGCGTGTCTCAGCGTTTGCCCCAGAAACAGATAGGAACTTCGCCAAGGCTGCACAACAGATTCGTATTCAAACTTGTCCCTTGGCAATCTGTAGGCAGCAGCTTCAGCTTGTGCTGGCTCCTGCCAGGGTCTGAGGAGTGGTGCCCCGTGAGGAGGGGACAAAGACTGGCTTCAGTCGGAGGGACTCCAGGAGTCTTCCAGAATTCTGAGCTGAGGATTCCCCTCCCCCTTCCCTCCCATCAGTGGTCACGCGACCTCTAAGGCGTTCCCGCAGAGAAGGGAGGAGGACCTAGGAGTTCCAGCCAGCATTAAATAAGCTCCCCAGCTGCTTTTCAGGGTCCTCCACTGGAGGGAGTGCAGAGTCCAGAGGGATTTGCTTTTCCTGAGGCCCCAGGGGAGCCCAGTTCCTTGTGGGCCCAAACCACAGCCCTTGCAAAAGTTCGAGCATGGGAGCCAGGCAGTTTGGGGCAGCATGTCGGTCTGTTTGGTATTGGGTGACTGTCTGGACAAAGTTGATTGCTTTTGAGGGGGCCAGAGTAAGTGGGGGTCAGCCTCCTCCCCAGCCTGGCTTCAGGGCCTGGAGCCCCAGTCCTGACCCCCCTCTTGCTCCCCCACCCAACACAGGAGGCACACATGTTCACCCCACTTTCTTCCTCTTCCTCCTCCAGCCCACTTTCTCTTCTCTGTGTCGTCAGAGCTACAGGGAGGGACCTGGGTAGACGGAGAAGCCGGAAACAGCGGGCTGGGGCAGCCACTGCTTACACTGAAGAGGAAGGACGGGAGAGGAGTGTGTGTGTGTGTGTGTGTGTGTGTGTGTGTGTGTGTGTGTTCTATTTTTTTTCTTTTTGGTGGTGGAGGGTAGGGGGTGCTAGCAGGGCCAGCCCTGAACTCGCTGGACAGCTACAGATCCATGGGGCCTGGCAGAGCCCGCTGAGAGAGGGAGAAGACAGCAGAGGGGTTGCCAAGGTGAGGGGATGCCTACAAGGAGGGGAGGGGGTGGCCTCTGACTGTGAGTGAGGGGGTGGAGGAGAGGGGCCTCCTGAGATCCTCCCCTGGGCTGGGTGGATGGTTCTCAAGAAATTGTTTCTGCTAATGTTGGTAGCTAATGGTACTGGGTTTTGGCAGTTTCAAACTGGGGGAGGAATGGGGGGTGGTTACGGGCCTCATCATTCCCCTCCCCCAAGGATCACTTTTCCACACCCTCACCCCTGCACCTCCAGGGGCACGAAAAGTCAGGGAAAGGAGGTGAAGGAGTGCCCCCTTTGCCCTCTGGGTTGGGGAGAAGTGACTGCCCCTCCCTAGAAGGTTGATGACAGAAGGAGTGGGTCCTTGTCAAGCCCCTATCCTCTCCCCCATAAAGGTTCCTGTTCAAGGGTGTGGCTGGGGGTGCGTGAGCCCCAGATGTAGACCTCATGGTGCCCCAAAGGAGGGGGAATTTCCCCCTTAAAACTGCTCCACGCTTGGCTGCTGTAGACGCCGAGATTTCCCTGCGCCGCGGAGTTAACCCTCCTCGTGCTGAACTGGCTCCGCCTCTCTGCACCCCACTCCCCCGCCCCTACCGCCACATACACACATTGGGCAACTCGGAGCTCTTTTGACTTTTGATCCTGTGGTCCCACGGTCAGAAGACTCGGGAATGTAGGGGCTGAGATGATGGGGTTTAGGCCACCAAGCGGGCAGATGAGGACCCTCGACGTCAGGCGGCCCTTCCCGGTTTGGAGGGCACACTGGCCCCGCCCCCTCACACCGTGGCTCCGCCCTCCATGCCCCCTTCAGCGGGTGAAGGTGAAAGGTGCCTCTGTCCTGGCCAGGCTAATCGACCCAACTTTGTTATGGGATGAAGGTGGGGAGAAATGTCGCCTCCTGATGTCCGGAGAGGGAGGGGGGTGGAAACTTCTAACCAGGGCCTTGCCAGGAGGCTGGTCACTCCACAAAAGGAGATGTAGAGGAAAGGGGGCTCACTCGAATTCCCAGTAGACCCGGGGTAGGGGATCAAATGTCTGGAATCTGAGCACCCTGAGAGACAGGGGAGGAAGAGAGAAGAGAGGAATGGAGTCCTCCCTTGAATTTGAAACAGACCAAATGTGGCTCCAGAAAGTGCCCCACCCTCCAGAAGGGGTGTGGTTACAGAAAGGCCTACTGGGGGACCCTGAGCAGGAGGGAGGAGGATTCAGCCTTTCGGAGAAAAGAGCTGGGGGGAGTAGGCCCTGGAGGAAAGAGGGGCATGAGGGCCTGGGAGCAGGAATGTCCAGAGAAAGGGCCTCTCTGTTTTTCATCCCTTTTGGAGCCCTGGGAAGAGGTGAGAGGCTGAAAGTACAACAGGAGGACTTGAGGTTACTAGGTTTGGGGGAGACCTAGGGAGTTGCCGTCGCATCCTCTCCCTCATCTCTGGGAGAGGGGTATTATGAGAAACATGAACTGAGAGACCCCTGGGAAACCAGTGGCCTACCCAGCACCACCTGCCCACAGCCCACCCAGAAATGAGGAGGCAGCCCTCTCCCCTGCTTCCCCATCCCCTGCTCTCCTCTCTCCCTGCTTTCTTGTCTTCCCTTGGCCTTCTAGCCCTCCAGCTTCATACATAATAAATGCTTAATAAATAGTAGGAATTATTACTCTAACACCCTCTTCTTCATCATCCAACCTGGTGGTTTTCAAATTATCTCATAGATACCTAGACCTCTGAGAGGTTTTCCCAGGGACACCTTTGGGGTCAGGAGGTTGGGAGAGGGAAGTAGAAGCAGGTGCGGTCCAGGATTTCCCCACTTCTTTCAACAGAGCAACTCCAATACCTTTTATGTAATTGGGATTCCACAGATTAAGAACTAGATGTGTCCACTACTTTAAAAAGTTTAGAAAGTTCTCCACTCATCCAACCCTCATATTTTATAGATGAGAAGATTGAGGCTCCCAGAGGGGAGGCTCCTTACCCACAAACCCGGAGCCAGGTCTAGAGCTGCAACCCAAGTCCTCTGCCTTCTCTAAGAAAGCTCTTCCCTACCTCTCTGTCTCCCCTTGTCTCCCCACACCTCTGGCTACAGCTCAGCTCTTCCCTCCGAATCACCCCCCCACACCCTGTGGCAACCATGGAAGGTGTTACCCTGTCTCGGGCATTGACTAAGGATGCCCTGGTTTAATGTGGTCTGGCAGTGAGTGGTGGTGGGAATGGTCTCTGGCAGGGCTGTGTATAGGAGGTCCCTGGCTGCCCCAGAAGATAAGGCAAGTTTCTCAGGCACTTGGAGTAGCCTTGTTCCTCTCCTCCAGGCACCCTCCAAATCCCAGATCATGTCTCTGTGGGGTCTGGTCTCCAAAATGCCCCCAGAAAAACTGCAGCGGCTCTATGTTGACTTCCCCCAACACCTGCGACATCTCCTGGGTGACTGGCTGGAGAACCAGCCCTGGTGAGTCCTGGCTGCCCCTTGCTGATCCCCCATGTCCTCGCCTATCCATCTTCCTTCTCCTTAGATGTTCTCCCCCCACCCATGGATTTGGGACTTAGGACCTGTTATTTCACATGTGGTGGCCTAGATTTATTGGGAAGTCTGTGCCCCATCAAGACCAGACTATGGGCCAGGTGCAGTGGCTCACGCCTGTAATCCTAGCTCTCTGGGAGGCCAAGGCAGGCGGATTGTTTGAGCTCAGGAGTTCAAGACCAGCCTGAGCAAGAACGAGACCCCGTCTCTACTAAAAATTAGAAAGAAATTAATCGGACAACTAAAAATGTATAGAAAAAATTAGCTGGGCATGGTGGCACATGCCTGTAGTCCCAGCTACTCGGGAGGCTGAGGCAGAAGGATCGCTTGAGCCCAGGAGTTTGAGGTTGCTGTGAGCTAGGCTGACGCCACGGCACTCACTCTAGCCAGCGCAAAAGAGTGAGACTCTGTCTCAAAAAAAAAAAAAAAAAAAAAAAGACCAGACTATGCTTGTTGACACATGGAGACCCTACCTCTTAGGAAGCTGAGCCAAAGGTGGGGGCATCAGGGCTGGGGCAAGGGCACTTCTTATAACAGCTGGAAGATTGAGGAATAAGGGGTGAAGGCTGCAGCGGGCCTAGATGGAGAATAAGGAAGGGGAAAGGAACCACTGAGCTTTTGGCTTTTGGGTGGAGGGTCAGGAATGCTGAGGAAGCCCTGGCCTGAGGTAATCACATCCTGATCTTCCCACAGGGAGTTCCTGGTCAGCTCAGATGCTTTCTGCTGCAACATGGCTAGCGCCCTACTTTCAGCCACTGTCCAGCGCCTTCAGGCCTCCGCGGGAGAGCAGGGGGAGGGGAATGCCATCTTGCAACACATCAGCACCCTGGAGGTGGGGCAGGAGGGGAGGGGACTAGGCTGGGTGGGGCTGAGGCGGAGCTTGGTGAGCATTGGACACTGGAAGAAATTCGGTTGGATGTTGGAGCAAATTGGTGTTCCTGTGGTTAGCTGTTAGCTAGCATGTAAATTAGATTTTAAAAGGATGCAAATGCACAAAAACTTCTAACGTCTACAGTTGTGCTGCCTTACAGTGTATGTGTGAATGGGGGCCTGGGGATTGGAGTGGGAGAAGGACATGGGTAAGAGTCATGCTAACTACCTGCCACCCTCATTTCTATAGAGCATATATCAGAGGGACCCCCTGAAGCTGGTGGCCACTTTCAGACAAATACTTCAAGGGGAGAAAAAAGCTGTGATGGAACAGGTATTGTGATATCCCACTTCCCACCCCAACTCAACTCCCTGGGACTTTAACCTGAGCCACAAGAAACTAGAAAGAATTTGAACCTCAGGAAAGGCTCAGTGTTCTAGGCCCAGGAGTGACCAAAGGAGGTTCCTGGGGTCAGAGCGAATCCCAAACTCAGGGAAGCTTCCAGTGAAGAACTAAGAGTAACAAGGCCTGGGGAGAATAGCATAAGGGGTAAGGAAATGATTCTGCTAGGAAAAAGGTCTTATTCCCCAGGGGATTCTAAAAGGTCAGGAAGAACTGCCAAAGGGGAGAGAGGAGCCAGAAAATGCTTCTTTTCTGCAGAGCAGAGAGTGGAGGCCACGTGTAAAGAGGTAGGCAGAGGAATGTCTTACCTCTTAGCATCTGTCCCTCCTGTGCAGTTCCGCCACCTGCCAATGTCCTTCCACTGGAAGCAGGAAGAACTCAAGTTTAATACAGCCCTGCAGAGGCTGCAGCACCACGTGGGGGAGACCCGCCTGCTCCAAGAAGCCCTGCAGGGGGGTGAGGCTGGCCAAGGTGGGGGCTAGGGCCTGGAGCCCTAAGGGGGTTCTGGGGAGTGTGTGGGAGTGGCCCCCTCTTGGACCTCAACCTTGACTGACCTTCAGTCTATCTGCATCCCTGATTTCTGCCTCTGTCCTCAGTGTCCCTGCACAGCTTGATAGAAACTCCTGCCAATGGGACTGGGCCAAGTGAGGTGAGTAATGGACTGGGAGGTGGAAACTGAGCTCAAAATGCAGCTGGAGGGATGGAGATTAGACCTCAGAGAGCCACAGACTGAGGTGGGGTAAAGGAGTGCCAGACAGGTAAAAAAGAGAGCCCTCTTCCAGGTGCTGGGGGAGGAGGCAGTATGTGGCACTGGCTCAGGCCCCCCACCCTGTCCGTAGGCCCTGGCCACACTGCTGCAGGAGACCGTGGGGGAGCTGGAGGTGGCTGAGGCCCTGGTGCTGAAGAGGATCCAGATTTGGAAACGACAGCAGCAGCTGGCAGGGAATGGTGCACCCTTTGAGGAGAGCCTGGCCCCACTACAGGAGAGGTTAGGGCAGGGCTGATGGGGAAGGGGGCCAGGCTGGGAGTGGGTACATGCTGTCCCTGCTGGAGGACCTGCAGGAGAAAGAGAGAAGCCAGGCAGGAGGGCCTTGGAGTGGGCCAAGATGCAGAGAAGTCAGTTCCAGCAGGGCTGTGCACACTGCTGTTTAGGTTGCACCCTGTGCAACTGTGCCAAGTCAAGGGGGCACAAGGTGGAGCTCATCCAGCCTGTGCATCTCTCTTCTAGACCCGTGGCCAGAGGAATAGGGAGCCTTTTCCCATTTGGTCTATTCGGTGGGAGCGCTTGCAAGTTTGGGCAAAAGCACTATATGTGCTGGCAGCGACATGTCCTGGGTATAAGAGGCCTGGGGAAGAGGCAGCCAGGTTTCCACAGAGGGTCTAGGCACTGAGAATGAGCCTCCCACCCAGATCCTAGGCAGGTCCCAGAAGCTCCTGCAGCCCAAGTGCCTTGTAGCCACACCTAGGGCCCACTCCACCCCTCCACACATGATATCCTGCTTTCTCCCTGGGTTTAGGGGAAGGGGGTCTGGGCCAGAACAGGAAGCTTGAATCCTGTGCGCCCTGACCACTGTCCTGGCCCCAGGTGTGAGAGCCTGGTGGACATTTATTCCCAGCTACAGCAGGAGGTAGGGGCAGCTGGTGGGGAGCTTGAGCCCAAGACCCGAGCATCACTGATAAACCGGCTGGATGAAGTCCTGCAAACCCTCATCACCAGGTATGCCCTGTGAGCCCCCAGCCTCGCCTAGAGCAGACTCCCTGGAAGGAAGGAGCTAGAATTAGGGGGAGGACACCAGGGAGGACCCAGACCCTAACTTCCCTCATGTCCTCCTCACTCCTCCCAGCTCTTTCCTAGTGGAGAAACAGCCCCCCCAGGTTCTGAAGACTCAGACCAAGTTCCAGGCTGGGGTTCGATTCCTGTTGGGCCCACGGTTCCTGGGGACCCCAGCCAAGCCTCCGCTGGTCAGGGCCGACATGGTGACTGAGAAGCAGGCGAGGGAGCTGAGTGTGCCGCAGGGGCCTGGGGCTGGAGCGTAAGCTGGGGTTGGACCTGGGGCTGGAAAAGGCCTGTTGGGGTGATGGAGGCAAGAGGAGCCTGGGGGGCTGGTACTACGAAGATCAGGGTGATGGGGAGGGAGGGCCAGAGGATGCGGAGACCCTGAATGGTCAAGGCAGAGGAAGGTGGGGAGGCACCCACACAGGGCTGGTATGGGGTGGGGGCGTCATGATTTGGCCACAATGGGGACTCCTTCCTTGAGAACTCAAGTAGGGTCATAGAGATTTAAGGCCAGTGATGGCGTGTAGTCCACACCATTCACCCATGGACTCAAGCTCCCCGCCACACCTGGCCCAGCTGGGATGCGCTCACTCCCATTGTGACCTGCCCTGGCAGAGAAAGCACTGGTGAAATCATCAACAACACCGTGCCCTTGGAGAACAGCATTCCTGGAAATAGCTGCTCCGCCCTGTTCAAGAACCTGGTGAGGGGCTTCAGGGCGCAGAGGACAGGGAAAGGGGGGAGCCCACTAGGAGACCATGGAACTCTCCTTGGAGAGGGTATCGGGGAGCCCAGGAGAAGCGGTCTCTGCCCTCACACCCTCACCCCTGCTCTCCTTCACTCCACCTGGCAGCTTCTGAAGAAAATTAAGCGGTGTGAGCGGAAGGGCACCGAGTCTGTCACCGAGGAGAAGTGTGCTGTGCTCTTTTCTGCCAGCTTCACGCTTGGCCCCAACAAACTCCCCATCCAGCTCCAGGTGAACCACAGCCCCAGCCCTGCCCCAATCTGGGACCCCAAGTCCCCCTCCACGCCACACACTGGGGCCCTGTGACTGCTCCATGCCCCATGTGTCTAGGATTCATGCACACTGGGGCCAGGGAGAGTGGGAAGGAAGAAGAACATGGGGTACATGTAGGAAGGATGGGAGCGGAAAGCAACTAACATCTACTAAGCACTTTTTATAGACCAGGGCACTCTCAGTGATACACACACACACACACACACACACACACACACGCACATGCACGCACACATAGATAGTAACATTGTGAGGTGGGCACTATTATTTAGCCTCCTTTTGCAGATAAGTACATTGAGACACAGAGAAATTAAGTGGTTTGCCCAGGTCAGACAGTGTGGGAGCTGGCATTTGAAACCTGGAAGTCTGGCTCCCCTGCAGTGACTTGTAACCACTTCTCTACAGTAAGGCCCTGATTGAGCTTCAGAAAGCATTTAATAACATGCCACAAGCCTTAAACTGTGTGGCATGAGTACAATTACTTCCCCGCATGCATGGAGCCAGCCTCCCAAAGGAAACCTCTTGCTCTACTAAGAAGAAACTCTGTCCTCACTCCTTAGGCCCTGTCTCTGCCCCTCGTGGTCATTGTCCATGGCAACCAAGACAACAATGCCAAAGCCACCATCCTCTGGGACAATGCCTTCTCTGAGATGGTGAGGAAAGACCTGGGGTTAGGGGGGATGGGACAGGGTGGGTTATAACATGTGGGTGGTGCAGGCTGGTTGGTGAGGTGGCAGGCATGTTCAAATGGGTGTGACTGTGACTCCTCATGGGCCTACTTTGGTATTTCTGACCTCTTTTCATCCAATCTTATCAACTCTCATGCCACAGCACCATAAACTGCTATTGAAAAAGCACTGGGTTTGTGAGCTTGTTAGCCAGCTCAGGGTGACAGTGCTGGGGAGGGGTCAGCCTGAGGAAGGTGGGAAGGACAAAGGCCTGCCTGAGGAATGGCATGGATGATAGGCTGAGGCGCTCTCTCCTTCCCCCTCACCCCAGGACCGTGTCCCCTTTGTGGTGGCTGAGCGGGTGCCTTGGGAGAAGATGTGTGAAACTCTAAACCTCAAGTTCATGGCTGAGGTGGGGACCAACCGGGGACTGCTCCCAGAGCACTTCCTCTTCCTGGCCCAGAAGATCTTCAACGACAACAGCCTCAGCATGGAGGCTTTCCAGCACCGTTCTGTGTCCTGGTCACAGTTCAACAAGGTCATTTCCCTGCCCTTTGGACGTCAGGCACTCAGGGCCTCCCCAGCCTCCACCTAGGGACTGACTCCTAGGATCTTCACAAGGCCCCATCCTGTCTGTCAGGAAGGCCTCTGTCATGGCCTAGGCAGGAAAACCCCTCAGCCCTGGAAGCTGAAGATGCATTCTGTGGCATCCCTCAGGTTTTGGTCTGAAGGCCCTCTGTCCTTCCTCTTTATCAGTCTTGCATGACTCATCTAGATTTTGTGTGAACAGAGCTCTGATTCAAAATGACTTTGACCCACTGGAAAAATAGTTCCTATTGCAAAAATCAGATGACATTCCATAGGACATGTGCAGTAATACCAGTTACCGTGTGTTGACAGCTTACTACATGCCAGGCACTGTGTGTAACACTTTTGTATGTTATCTCACTTAATCCTCCCAACATCCCTTTGAGATAGGCACTATTATCCGCATTTTACAGATGAGGAACCTGATGCTCAGAGAGGTTAGGTAGTTTGTCCAAGGTCTCACAGCAGGTGAGTAGCATGACTAGGATGGACCCTATATTTCCTTCTCTCTCTATCCCTTTTTTTTTTGAAACAGGGTCTTACTTCGTTGCCCAGGCTAGAGTGCAGTGGCGTCATCATAGCTCACTGCAACCTCAAACTCCTGGGCTCAAATGATCCTCCTGCCTCAGCCTCCTGAGTAGCTGGGACCACAGGCGTGCACAGCCACACCCGGCTAATTTTTCTGTTTTTTGTAGAGATGGGATCTCACTCTTGCTCAGGCTGGTCTTGAACTCCTGGCCTCAAACAATCCTCTTGCCTTGGCCTCCCAAAGTGCTAGGATTATAGGCGTGAGCCACCGAACCTGGCTAAACCCCTATATTTCGGACTCTTGCTCTTAACTGCTATATTTTACTGCCTCCAGAATGAGGCGGTCAGCACTGGGTCACTTACAAGAACAGAAGAAAAAGGAGATTTAGACGTCTTGGTCAACAACCAACTGGGTAAACACAGCCATGTACTGTTATCTTTAAAAAGGAAAAAAAAAGTAAGAGGCTGGGCACAGTTGCATGTGCCTGTAATCCCAGCTACTCAGGAGGCTGAGATGGGAGGATTGCTTGAGCCCAGGAACTCGAGGCCAGCATGGGCAACACAGACTCCCATCTCTAAAAAATTTTTTAAAATAAAACTTGATTTTACAATAAAACATATGTCCACTGTAAAGAACACACCTACTATGCATTTATGACATGAAAGAAACTCCCAATAAGTAGAATATACTACACAGGCAGGACAATTACCAATTATAACTACCAACAGTTTATTATTAGGCCTCACCCCAAAGCTCTCTTATCCTGTCTTCTACATGGCTTCATCGGCCAAGAACATTTTGTGCATCTTTACTTTCTGCAGTTTGCATTAGAAAAATGAGTATTTTTTGGCTTTCTGAATAAGAAATTACATTATAATATCAAAGCACTAGGTAGACAGGCATTCTCAAACTTTTCCCTCAACCCTATCTCCAGTTCCCAACCTCCAGGTTTCTTTGCTAAAATCCAGAGTTAGAAATTGAATCTAAGCATGAGGAGAAAGATTTAGGTGAGTGTCACAACATGGTACTACCATGAGTCTTTTATTATTCTACCCCTGTGGATTCCAAGTATTAAAAGATCTTACCTGTCAAATTGCATTTATTCAAAGTGACTCATCTTCCCATTTTAAAATAAAAACTTTATAAAATATCCATCAAAGCCTTATCGGAAAGAATGAAGCACTACCACAGCCACTGGAAATAGCTCATGATCTCAACTACTGCCTCCAAAGACAAGCAGAGTCTGAGAAGTCCAGCCCAGGAACCACTACTCCATTCTAGGAATATTCCTTCAGAGACATTTCCATCACTGGCCTTCCTATAGACTTTGATCCTCTTCCCAGGAGTGCAATACTAAAAACATAGATACTACCCTGAAAAAGTTTGTTTCACACTTAAATCAACTTTTACATAATAC